CCCTGCATGTCAGTCCTACGAATGCTTCTGAAATTAATATAAAATTTATAGGGGGGTCACCGAATTCTTTTTTCTTTTATATAAGTAGACAGCATGAAATAAGCGAAGAAAAGGTAAACGGAAGGGCCCCTTTTGTGACTGATATTGCATCAGCATCTTATTTTTAGATAACATAGGAAAAACGAATCCGGTGAGCCCTATTAGTTATATACCGGTATCAAATAAAATAGAAGTTTAATGGCAATAACATATAATTTTTAAAGAAAATTAGAAGATTTTTATAAAAAGGCAATTTAAATTCAAATATTTCAATATTTTTTTTTTGCGATATTTTTTATTTTCATTTACACTATGTATCCCCCGTACACCCGCCATAGCCGATAATGTACTGTCGATTTAAATCATCGACAGTGACCGTCTATTGCGCCGGATAGCTCATGCTAGTGAAAAAGGACTGCACCTAGATTCTGGTAAATATTTTGTCTTTTTATAGTGTTAAATTCTACAAACTATTTTAAAATCATTTCTCATACTTGCAACACTACCTGTAGCTTATACCCATTGGAGTATGCTTTGAAAAACAAGAATATAATACACTCTTATGAGGTACGTTACATTGAAAACCCTTTGAAGAAAAAATTACACTGTATAATCTTCAATGAGATACATTAATGAACAGGTGCTTGCATAAATTATACATATGAACACGTGTCCCTCCGACAGCAAGACACAGGTACAAGACGAGATTTTTTTAAAATATATGTATATTTACTGAATACACTTACAGTAAATGTGCATAGATTTAAAAAATCTCGTCTTGTACCTGTGCAGCAAGAGGGTTGAGTATTATCGCATTTCTATTTACAGCAATGTTAACGTGGGGAAATGTCATAAGTTTTGCAACGTCACAAATATGAACGCCACGCGGTTTGCCGCGACAAAGCAAAAAAAAAAAAAGTCAGCAGCCAAAGGGTGTAAACCTTTAACAGCGCCAGGCATGTCCCTTTTACATGGAATAGAAGTTCCTTTATAATATTAGTTCCAAATAGAATAAATGTTCTGGAATGCTATTTTCACTGTCAGAAATATGCCATTGTTTGTTCCGGTAAGCCTATAGAATATTTGTCAGGAACAGGAACACATATCATAACATTAATTGTTTATAACAAAAGTGATACTTCTGTTAGGAGGAACAAATATTATACAATTATTGACTTTGATGAGGTTAATACATAGAGAATAATACATTATTCTAAAGGCCCTCGGGCTGATATTGGTATCTCGGGATGATACGGCATGTGATACGGATTTTGCCATGTTTTATACACTTTATCATATATTTAAACAGGAGAGTATATAGGAACTACTTATTCACCCGAAGCACATGGGTTACCTTACAATTGTTGTCCATAGAAATATTTTGTTTATTGTATTTTTTTGTTGTTTGTTTGTGTTTGTGTCGTCTGCTGATCCGAAACTGTCCGAGAATACGTTCGAGAAATCCGAGTAGGGCTGCGATAAAGGGGTGTGGTAAAGGGAAGACATGCGACAAAGGGGTGTGATAAAGGGTGCGCATCAAAGTTGAGCGATACGGATTAAACAGCAGGCTATTTATCAAATTTTCAAAACTACTAAATATATGATACAATGATTTATTATACTTTCATAGCATATATTTCATGCCTAATACAGTGCTTTTTGCATATGTGTAACTGTAACAGCCACTATGTTCCGTCAGTTACTTTGTTCCGGCGGAACTTTTCAACTAGTTATTTCGTTCCGATGGAACTTTTCAACTAGTTGTTTTATTCCGAGTGCAGTCGAAAAGTTCCGGTAAAAAGTAGCTAGTTGAAAAGTCCCGGAACAATGTAGTTAGTTGAATAGTTCTGGCGGAACAGAACAACTAGTTACATACCATATTTCGTCCTTTTTGTAGAAAGAGGGGGAAGAATGAGTATCAGTATATATAAGAGCAAATCATTAATTTACAAGAATACCCAACGCACTGAAAGGGGTTTCTTTGGGGACAAATATGCAAAATTTAAGTTGTATTTCATAGCTCACATAAAACGGAATAAGTTGCATTATCATGCAAATTTAGTATTCATAGTACCCTCAAGAGAGGGAAGAATACCCCCTCCTCATGTGGTTCTTTGCATCAATTCTCCAAATGGAACTTTGTGACTGGTTGATGAGTTCCGTTGGAACTTTTGGGCTATTTTGTTAGTTCCGGTTTTGACTTATTTGCCAAAGAGGAACTTTGTGGCTAGTTGATAAGTTCCTTTTGACTTTTGTAATCAGTATCTTGGTTTCCCTTTGAAAGGTTCAAATATAATATGTTGCGCTTTTACTTTGCATCGTTTCTCCAAATGGAACTTTCTGCCTGGTTGATAAGTTCCGTTGGAACTTTTGGGCTAGTTTGTTAGTTCCGGATTTGACTAATATGGCAAAAAGGAACTTTCTAACTAGTTGATATGTTCCGTTGGAACTTTTCAACTAGTCACTTTGTTCGGGTGGAACTTTTAAACCAGAGGAAGAATAAAAGTAACTAGTTAATAAGTTCCTCCGGAACTTTTCGGCTAGTTAGTTCTTTCCGCCCGGAACTTTCCAACGTCGGAACAAAAGAGCATTTACATAACGACCGGAAGAAAACAAGTCGTATTTGCACACCCGGTCTGATAACCCCGTATCAGCCCAATGACGTCACTATCCGGGCTGATATGGCCGTATCGGCCCGGGCAAAAAATCCATATCAGCTTCCTGTGTTAATCTTCTTTATTTTCGAAAGTATATGAAAAAGAGATTAATACATGGCCATTTCAATATCGGCCCGGATATCATCTTCGACCAATATTAGCACCTCGACTACGTCTCGGGCTGATATGGGGGTCTCGAGATGATACCCGGGCCGATATGGAAAAGGCCATGTATTAATCTCTATTTATCATATACTTGTATAAAATATTAATAAAATTTTACTTTTCAATAACATTTAAAAATATTAAAAGGCTATGAAAGGATTACTAGGTTTATTGACCAGATTCCTAAGAATTTCCTCAGCGGGCTGATAAAGGAACCTTTATTGACTGCTTCCGGAATGTTATCACATGCCTTTCCGTTAATTTCCGTGACGTTTATCACATGAAACTTCGTGCATTTCCGGAAATTTGTTCGAAAACGACAACACAGTGCGGAAAACCGCAAGTGATTTAAGACTTTTCACAAAATGGTTGAGGAGTAAATTTCAAACTAAGAACATGTTAATTGTTGTGACAAGATAAATAAAATGCTTGTAATATCAATAAAAACAATAAAAGTTAAGACATTTGTATTTGGTTGTCTGTAAATTATTATCTAAAAATTCATGGAAAGACAAAATTTTAATTAATAGTTCTTGTCGGTATTTCTTCTGTTGAAGTATATGATAAAAAGATAATTACATGTCATTTATCATATCAGACCCTTTATCGGCCCTCGTTCATGATATCAGCCCTCGAGCCTGCGGCTCTTGAGCTGATATCATGACCTAGGGCCGATAAAGGGTCTGATATGAAAAATGCCATGTAATAATCTATACTTATCACACCCCTACTCAAATTTCTCGTATATGACAGTAGTGATTCCGACTAAATTTACATGAAGTCCAGTGGCGGATCAAAAAGGGGGGGGGGGGGGGGGGGGGGGGTCCGAACCCCCCCCCTTTTTGACGATCAATGCATTTGAATGGGGGACATATAGTTGGAACCCCCCTTTATCCTGGGTTAGGAACCCCCCTTTTATAAATGGCTGGATCCGCCCCTGAATTCCATGTTTTAATTTATGCAAGCTTCTCAAGAAATATTTTTCCTCGATGGGTCCTGAATGAAACAGTCATTAGGGCGTGACGTCAGTCATCGTCATTGTTTGTCATGTGACGTCACAGACGTCGAGCTTTCATATTTTTCATCACACGAAATGCAACTATAAATAAGAACTCAATGAAATACCATATAAAACACAAAAAATACAATAAACAAAATATTTCTATTAACAACAGGACGCAATTGTAAGGTAACCCAGGTACTTCGGATGAATAATTAATCAGTTCTTTTAAAGCTCTTAAAACAAGACAAAAGTAAATCTGAAGGTAACCCAGGTGCTAAGGATCAGAAAGCAGTTCTGCTGTTTTAATATATGATAAAGCGTTTAAAACATGGCAAAATCCGTATCGCCCTCGACCAATATCATCCCACTGGCTGATATTGGTATCTCGGGATGATACGGCATATGCTACGGATTTTGCCATGTATTATTCTCTATTTATCAACCACCGAGACATGATATGCATCGAGGCCAACGGCCGAGGGTGAATGTCATATCTCTGGAGTTGATAAATCATTGTATCAACTGAAATCAAAAGTCAACAATTGTTTTATTATATGACTTTTTATCCTTTTCTAATTTTCTAGTTTTTGCTCACGATACTTTTAAAACTGTTCCCTATTTATACACTAAATATATCATCTGCTTTTGCAGTTGCTAATTTTCATAAGTTGAAATATCCAATATAGTTTACTTAAAAAAAACCGAAAACAAAAAAAGAGAAAGAATACACTGAAAACAAGAAGAAAAGGAAAAAATCTGGAATTTACACGACGTTGCCTTGGAATATCTATATTTAGGTACACGGACGCTGTTCTAAATCTTATATTAAACTGACTCTCGTGATTTTTGCCGAGATGAAAAAATGTTTTATCAAAGAGGATTTCCTATGCTTTTAGCCAATGAGAAAATAGAAAATTTATAGTCATATAATAAAACTTAATAGTACCAAATTTGCACCTATTTTGACAGTTTTTTCACCATCATTTATTTAAGAAACAGATAAAAGTTTCCAAACTGTAATTGTTTTGTAGATGTATCCTTATTTACCATATAGTTCACCAAATATATGTGTGAATCCACACTGAATAACGCTTGCTATACGAATATAACTTTTTTGATAAAGACAAACAACGTACCATTTTTGGAAAATAATCCTTCTCTAGTGTCTTTAAGTCTTCCTACTACAATGATAAGTAAATCAGTATACACAGTAATTCAATAATTTGCGCGTGTGTGTGTTAGAGAGATAGAGAGAGGAGAGAGAGAGAGAGAGAGAGAGAGAGAGAGAGAGAGAGAGAGAGAGAGAGAGAGAGAGAGAGAGAGAGAGAGAGAGAGAGATAGAGAGAGAGAGAGAGAGGAGAGAGAGAGAGAGAGAGAGAGAGAGAGAGAGAGAATCGATTTCTTTATTCAGCTAACTCCACGAGTGTGTAACTTTTACACACGTAGTAATCCCTGGGTCGTGTTTTCTATGTGTTTTATTTTGTTGCTACCCTACTGACGTATATCAAAGATATCCTTTTATTCAAATTGAGGTCATTTGCTATAATGTTTTGCCATACTGATGTTTTGCCTGACCGGTTGATTATCTTTTTAATCAACTTGTGATTCGTTATATCTCAGTTCTTCTTTAGTCAATTATAACGTCAAACTTTCTTGCTTTCTACTGAATATCCTATTTGTGACGTCACGCAAAAAAGGCGATCATGCACGATGACGCCACATAAAAAGAATATATATTTTGGATAAGAAGGATTAATTGTGTCTACGGATCGTATAAATATCATTAGAGAAACAGCTGCCACCACTTAAAAACGTGCAATAAAATATTTCTTCAGCTAAATTTAAATACTTGTAACGCTCGGCAAGCCTCGCGTTTTTTTAAGTTCAAATATATTAAATATTGTGTATTTTTTTATAAAAGATCTGGTGTTGTTGTGAAGTCCGCCTACTAGACGTACAGTATAGCACGCCGCTCAACTGAAACGTAACTATCGTTGACGTACTTCCTTTAGCTTTCTCAATACATTTTTAAAATCAAACTAGCAAGACGTCTGTTCTTTAGTTCATGCCATTATACGATATTTTAGCCACTTTACGCAATAGGTGTCAGAATATAATACATTCTTTTAATGTGAAGATTTTTTAAGAAAGTATTTTGCGTATTTTTCTCTTTTTCTGCGATATGTTTTCATATATCACGCTACTCAGAAACTAAGGACGCACGTGACGTTGTCAATGTAAACATCATAGGCAAAATAAACTCGAAGATAATAATAAATATTTTGAGTAGCACATGTGTAGCATTTTAAGCATACGCTTACAAATCAGCCCTGAGATGAGATGTGGCAGAGAAACATCCTCGAGTTTGAAAGACCTTTGACAATCTGTTTATCGCTATTTTGCCTATGACGTCGTTGATGTTTACATTGTCATCATCACGTGCGCCCTGAATTTCTGACGATAATTTTCCATATCAAGCGATTAGCGTAATGGGGAAAAATCATCACGAAAAAAGAACAAAGGAAAAAGACACAAAATAGCGATAATCGATGAGATTGTATCTGAGAAACACCCTCTCGTTTGAAAAAAACCCATCGATAATCTATAAGTATTATAAGTGCAATTCCAAATAGATGCATAATTATGATAGACGATCGATAGTTCTAATGTGACTGTATATTTGTTCCGCATAATATATGTTCGGAACAAAAAAGTATATTACAAAAGTTCCTGAGAACTAAAATTACATGATATTTATTGCTTCTCCATAAGGGAGCTACCATTTGATTTTTATGGGGGGGGCTAGGATGAAAAATTTTGTCCTGCTTTTTTTTTTAGTTGTAATCTCTTTCCTGCTTTTTTATTTTTTACTCTATTCGGTCCTGCCTTTTTTTTTACTAGTTTATCCTGAATTTTTTTACACAAATTGTCATCCTGCCTTTTTTTTTTACCAAGTTGCTCATCCTGAATTTTTTTTTTTTACTCAAAACTCCTGTCCTGCCTATTTTTTTCAAATTTCATCCTAGACCCCCATAAAAATCAAATGGTAGCTCCCTAAAATAAATTCCTGGAAAAAAAAGCCCTATAAAATTTGTTCCTAGAATGACTGGAAATAATACAATAGAGTGATTTTTAAAGGTCATAATAAAAGATTCATGTATATAATGTGATTGTTTACACCTGATTGCATTTTAAAAAGTAATCACTTTTACGTGCATTTTTATACATGCATGATATTATTCAAAAGTTAACATGGATTTTGTGGAATACAATAAGATATTCACAAATAGAAATAATATAATTTTGAATGTGAAATTGAGAATGGAAACCGGATGTGTCAAAGAGACAACAACCCGACCAAAGAGCAAAAAACAGCCTAAGGCGTAACACGTTTTCTGATTGGCTGAAAGTCTTGTGTCTATCAGCTCATAGACATAATTTTGTCATGTGACCGTAACGTCATCAACGTTTTTTCATGATTTACTCCTTGTAAACGGAATTTAGAATTAAATTATAAGGACTGACTGTAATATTTTTTCTGTCTATTCGAAATAACCTATAAAAAAAAATATGGTGCACACTCATAAATAACCCACATCGCGGGTTATTCAGTGTGCACCACATTTTTGAGGTTATTTCGAATAGACAGAAAAAAAATATTACAGTCAGTCTTTAAATAATGAAACTTACACAAATGAATGTTAGAAGTAATTTAACATTTATAAGCATTTATGGCATATAGTTATTGAATGTAAAATGTTTTGTTTCTTCAACTTTAAACAATAATTATCCCGATAACTTTCCTATGTTTAATTTAAACATTCGAAGGGCCATGTGAGCTTTTCCCATCACTTGGCGTCCGTCGTCCGTTACCCTTCACAAAGATCATCTCCTCTGAAACTACTGAGACAAATTTAACCAAACTTGGCAACAATCATCATTGAGGTATGTAGTTTAAAAATTGTGTCCGATGACCCTGCCAAAATGGCCGACATGGCTAAAAATAGAACATAGGGCTAAAATGTAAGTTTTGTCTTATATTTTGAAAACCGCTATAAATAGAGGATTTCTCACAGGATCAGAAATGTTCAGAATGTTGAGCTCTACCTAATATCTGTACTGTCCGACAATTTCTTACTGGAGTAATTGCCCTAAAATGATGAATTTTACTACTTTTTCCGTTTTGACTATTATCTTGAAAACTATAATAGATAGAGGGAAACTTTAAAATGCAAAACTGATCAGCAAGACAAGATCTTCAAGTAAATATAGCGGAAATCGTCACTCGACTCCTTGTTAGAGGTATTGCCCTTTAATGACAATTTTACCATTTTTGTCGCGTTTTGCCTAAAATCTTAAAAACTACAATAGATAGATAAAAATTTAAACAGCATAAGTGATCAGCGAGACAAGATCTACAAATGGTTATTGCAGTTATTGCTCATTAATGACAATTTCTACCAATTTTTAGTGTTTTTGCCTTTTATCTTGAAAACTGTAAAAGATAAGTAGAAACTTTAAATAACAAAAATGATCAGCAAGACAAGATCTACAATCAGGTAAAATTCTGCCGAAAAAGTTAGTAGATAGGAGTGATTGCCCTTAAATGACGATTTTTTTACCCTCTTTTGTGTTTTGGGCAAAAACTAAATAAGATAGAGAGAAACTGTGAACAGTAGTCTACAATGTTGAAGTTGCACTTAGACCTAGGTGAGCGAGACAGGCTCTTTAGAGCCTCTAGTTTTTTTTTTATCAATAAAGAAATTATTCATGGATCTTCCTTACAAAATAAGTTTTCCTTGAATATCTGTTTCAATAAATGCATGTATTCCTGGCAATTCTGTTACATAATCATTATTCAAGGAACTTCTCTTAAAATAAAAATAATTCCTGGAATTTCTATTACATAATTATTATTCCAGGATCTTCTCTTACATAAAATTACATTCCTGGAATTTCCTTTATATAATTGTTATTCCTGGCAATTATGTTACATAACAAATATATAAATAAATAACAAAACATCAATGTGTTGGAAAAGTATTTTTGAATTTTTCTATAAACAAAAAAAGTGATAACTAATGCCTCGTTCACACGTACATTTAATTCGAATTGAATTCGAATCGAATTCGCTAATCGCGTTCACACACTCTTCTTTTTTAATTCGAATTGATTCGAATTGGCTAAATCGCATTATCCAATTCGCATTAGAATTGCGTTTTTGTTAATACGAATTAAAAATTATTATTACATTGGTTGCAATGCATTACATTGATTTCCCAGTGAAATAAAAACCAATAATTTCACATGTGAAATAAACGTGGTTATTTCACTCCTCTGACGTCATACAACAATAGGCGTTGTCAAGACGTCGATAACGTCGGATCAAAACAAATTGTGAATGCGTAGAAAAAGATATAGTTCCTTACATTTTCTACTTTAATTTCATAAAAAAAGACATTTGCCAATGTAATAAAAAGAATAACTAATCAAAGAATTCGAATATCGAAAAATATTCAACTCGTGACCGAACAACACTGATAATTAACTCATGCGCTACGCGCATTCGTGAATTAATGTGTTGTTCGGTCACTCGTTGAATATTTTTCTCTATTTGAATTCTTCGATTAGTTATTCTATAAACGTCGTTTGGACAGTAAAGCGAATTTGACGCGCATTGCAATTCGAATTAGAATTTACGTTTGGACGTAAAACGTTTCGAATGCGAATTAAACTAATTCGAATTAGTTAATGCGAATCGAATTCGAATTACGTGTGAACGCAGCATAAATATTTTGTAATCTTGAAATATCTTGTCACAAATATAAATACTTTCAATATGATAAATAAATTGTTTGTTATTTTAATATTCCTATGTCATTGTTTCTCTCACAGTGTGATAGGAATTCATGTGAGTTGCTAGTGCTGAAGTGTTAACATTATACTTGTTCCAATAGTAACTTTCATTATATAACAAAAATTCCAATTGGAACTTTCATAAAATAATATGTTATCCAGAGTGTATGAAATTTTCTTATGGCAATGGATAAAATATTATATGGCGTCACACTAATTTGGACAATATTGAAAACAAATTGGCAGAGAAAATATGAATTATATTAGAAGATAATAAAGTATTGGCTTTATCTTCCCGTACTAAATGAGAAATAGATTTAAATAT